TTTTTCAGTTTCAAGTTTTGTTAGCGTATGACATTTAGGTGTCATTTAAATTGATATATGGGGTCCTACTAAAGTAACTTCTATTGATGGCATTAGATATTATGTTGCTTTTATAAACCACTACACTAAATATACCTAGATTTATCTTTTGCATAATAAAACTAATATATATGATTTCTTTCTAAAGTTCAAATCCATTGTTGAAAATTATTTTAAAACTTTAATTGTTTCAATTTATTCTGATTATGGTGGTGAGTACGATAAACTCAATACATTTTTTACTTCATTTGGCATACAATGTTTACAAACTCTACCATATATCCCTCAACATAATGCAATAGTTAAACGTTGTTGAAACTGGACTTACACTTTCGCATAAAGCTTCTATGCAAATTACATATTGGTTGTTTGCATTTTCTACTCCTGCTTATCTTCTTAATAAACTTCCATCATCTATTACCAAAGCTAAATCTCTTTTTGAGCTTTTGTTTAACCAATCACAAATTTGAACAAAAGAAAGATTTTGATTTTATGGTACCCCTGATTGAAACCTTATACCAATCACAAATTAGAACCAAAGTCTAAACCATGTGTCTTTCTTGGTTATTCCAAGCATCAAAATGCATATTATTGTATAAATACCCAAAATGATAAAATTTTTGTTTTAAGACATATGTTGTTTGATGAAAGTTAGTTTCCATTTGCTACACTATTTTTAGCTAGATCTCAAATTTTACATGAAAATGTTTTTAAATGGTCCAGTGCTGTTGAAGTTTCATACACTTTACCTTATCATCTTCTAATATTATAAGGCCAATAGTCTTTTCTGATGCATCTCTACCTTATTCATCTAAGCCATCATCACTTGAGTAAGTGGCTAACTTTTCTCAAAAGTATCCTTCATCCATTTTCACATATCAAATTAAAACATCTTTACTTGCATCTTTACCTCTCCAATGCATTCATCCTATGGTCACCAGATCCTAAAATAATATCTTTAAGCCTAAATAGCTAAACTTAGTCACCAACCATCCTTTTTCTAATTTTATTGAACTAACATGTGTTACTTAGGCTATTAGAAATAAATTTGAAATGTCAAATGAATATCAGGCTTTACTAAAAATAAAATAAGGAGACTTGTTTTACCACCTTCAAATAGGATTATTATCGGATGTAAATGGCTATTTAGAGGTGAAAAAAATTTGGATGAAAGTGTGGCTAGGTATAAGGCTAGATTTATAGCCAAAGGTTTCAACCAACATCTAGGTTTTGATTATATAAAAACTTTTAGTCCAATTGTTAAACAATAACCATTAGGCTTTTATTATGTCTACTTGTTTCAAATAATTGGCCACTTCACTAACTTGATGTTAACAAAGTTTTTCTACAAAGTGATTTGTTAGAAGAAGTTTACATGAAACAACCTCTTGTGTAGTTTGATAAAAATCATCCTAATTATGTTTGCAAGTTTAACAAAGCTAGTTATGGTTTAAAGTAGGCCCTTCGAGCATAGTATTATGCATTTAGTAAATTTTTATTACCTTATGGCTTTCATAACTCAATTGTTGATACCTCTCTATTCATTTTTACAAAAGATGAAATTCTTACTTACATGTAAGTATATGTAAATGATCTAATTGTCACAGGGAATTCTCAATCCTTTTTTATTAGATTTGTTACTACATTGGTTGTCTAATTTTTTATCAAAGATTTAGGGTATCTAAACTATTTTTGGGAGTTGAAGTTGTTCATACATATTAAAGATTGTTTTTATTTCAACATAAGTGCATAAGTGAGATATTGACTAGAACTAAGAGGGATGGTGCTAAGGAGACAACTACACCCTTATCTATTTTTGTTTCCTTAAGTTTTCTAGATGTCTCTACTACAACTGTTATTAAGGAACATAGAAAATTATTGGCTTTTTTCAATATCTTACCTTAACCAAGCCAAACATTTGCTTTGCTGTCAAAAAGCTATCTCATTTCATGCATAAGTAAACTACTGTTCATTAACAAGCCTTGAAATGTGTTCTAAGATATCTTAAACACGTTTCATGGTTTGTTCATTAAAAAGGAACAACTCCTTAATCTCAATGCATTCTCAAACTTTGATTAGGTGAAAATAATGATGATTGCAGCTTTATTTTAGAATATATCATATATCATATATATTAGAGGTACTTCTATTTCTTAGAGTTCAAAAAAACAAAAAAATAGTTGCTCATTCATCTACTAAAGTTTAATTTCAAGTTGTTGCTACCACTTATCATATTTACTTAGATTCAATCAATAATTTTTAAGTTAAAAGTTTAACAATCCTTCATTCCAACTGTGTTATGTGACAATCTCACTACAATATATACTTATGCAAATCTAGTTTTTCACTCAAAGATGAAACATTTAGCTTTGGACTACTTTTTTGTTAGAAAGAAAGTTAATCAAGATCTGTTTCAAGTCAAACATATCTTTTCAGCCAATCAACTTATAGATGCACTTACAAAACCCCTTTCAAAATCTTGTTTTCATTATCTTTTATTCAAGATTGGTGTCTCCAAGGGTTCCACCATCTTACAGGGGCATTTGGAAGAAATAGATGTTTGACAAATCAAGATTGCTCTTCAACAGATCTTGATTATCAAGATCATTCTCCTAACCACTCCTAGAGATAACAACAAGTTAGGGTGGGAAGAATTTTTGCATTTCCCACCTTTGTCTTGAAATTCCATAATCCTTAACTAATCCCAGCTTGCCCACTTAGAGGTTTTATTTGTAAAACCTGACTTCAACCCGCTAAAAAAGGCATTTCCCTGACTCCAACATGCCTTGACTTGACTTTGGTAAGGAAGATTATCATTCCTTTAGAATCAAAATAAAATATTTAAGATCATGAATGAAATTTGCTTTGTAGTTTGAATTGAATGTAATTTTATTTTACAATATCCTAGCTCATTCTTATTTTTCACCTAAAAATGACTCATTTTTAATGTTAAAACTTTATCAAAATTTAATGTAAAAAGGTAAATGTTAATACAAAATTATACTTGGTGGTTAATAAATCAATTATTAGAGAAAAATGTTTATACTCAAATTCTAAAAACTCCATCACAAATATATTTTTTCACCAACTAAAAACACCATTTGCTTGTCCACTTTACAATCCCTGCTTTACTGGATCTCTATTAAAACTTATTTGACTTTAAAATCTTTTTTATCTGGGTTTTTTTTTTTGAAAGATCTATTTTTTCTACCAAATTTGACACTGTATGACTTTGAACTTGTTTTGTCTATTACCTACGTTGTTATTTTCCTTTTAGAGTTATATATAGATCTAAAAAAATGGATAAGCAATTTAGATAACACGAAATCATTAACTATGGCAATATAAAAGTAACAATCTAAAAAATTAGTGGCAACAATTGAAAGCATAATATTAGTATACTTAGTGTAGCTACTGGTGAGTGGTGACGAGCTGATAGCTTCATTTAAATGAAATTGCTAAGAAGGAAGCTTTTAGGTGGATGGAAGTGACCCATTAAGCTAGTAAACCTATTCATTTTCGGATTTTCTTTTAGATCTGAGAAATTGAGATAGAAGAAGGGAATGAATGGATGATGAAGCTGTTGGGAAGGAATCGATAGATGATGCTCTTAGGTGGATAAATGAGAAAAAAATTGTAAATTTGAGACAAAGAGATGGAAGATAAGGTTAAAGGTAGGATGAAATGGGAGAAAAATGATAAACCCTAAAAATATTACATATATATAAATACAAAAGCATTTTGATAAATATCTTGAGTCAAGAGAGGATAGGTTTAATATAAACCCACCTCAGAATTTCAAAAAAATTAAAATTGACTCAACTTGAAATTTGATTTAAAAAAAAATTGATCTTATAGGATCAAGTCAGATCAAAGCCTAATACTTCGAGTTGATTTACCAACCTTATTCACTCAATTATATCTTATCTTTATTTAGGTTTTGGATATTTTTATTACATTGTATATTTATCATGTATTTATCCTATTCATCTTAACATTTTAAACTCTATACTATAAATATCATATAATACAATAATCAACTTCAAGCTCTTTCCTTTCAATTTTATTTTTCTTCAAACCCTTTTAAACCAATATTATTTTTCTCTTTTATTCTTATATGTATATTTGTACTTTCCTCATATTCCATATCTCTCTATTATAAATAGAATATTGCAAATAATTTGCATTATGTTTCTTTCAGGTTTCTCATATATAAATAATTTAATTGCTCCCAAATCCCAATGGCTAATAGTAGACAATATAAATACACCTTATATAAAAAGTATCTTCTAAGGAATTTGGAGTGCCACGTGTACCTTTTTTAGGTTCTTTTATAGTTTTTTGTTATTTCACTGGGACGGATTTTATCGGTTAAAAGTTCTTTTAGAGGATACAAGTGTTTTCTTTTATTGTTTTGTCCTTGACATCCATATTTTAATTGTACTATTGAGGGTGTTTTTTTTTGAGTTTTTATTGCTGCTTCAGAGAGTGGAGCTTTTGGCATAAACAAGAGGCTTCTCAAGTTCTTTTTTTTTTTTTTAAGTTATTTTTGGGTAAATTTGTGACTATTTTTATTATTTAATTGAATGTGAGTTTTGTTTTGTTTTGTTTTTTGTTTCTTTTGGATGATTTTGCTATTACACCTTTTTAATTTGTTTAATGGGTTGAATTGTTAAATGGGATTTGGTTTTGTGATTTTAAAATTTACATGTTGTGAATGTGTTTTTTCTTTTTTTTAAAAAAAAAAAATTTCTCTTTGCATGTTGTGGTGTTGGATGAAAATAAAATTGTTGTTTATAGAAATATAGTTTTGCAGTACATAATTTGCGTCTTCTTTTGTTGTTTTGTTTTGACACCTATATTTTAATTACAATTTTGAAGACTTTTTTTTTTTGAATTTTTATTACTGCGTTAGAGAGTGGAGCTTTTGGCGTGAAAAAGAGGCTTGTATAAACAAAATAAAGCACGGCAGGGCAGAGCAGGCTGGGGATTTTCAAAGATCAGTTGTCTTACTCACTTACTTGATGATAAGGATTTCTCCGTTTTGTGTTCTGTAAATGTATGTGACCCACACCTCACCAGCCACCATACCCCACATGTAACGGAAACCTGTAAGGAAAGTGAATCAAGCACAATTATTAAATGGCATTATCACTTGATGCTTTATTCATCATCTTTCCAATGTAAGGCAGTATCTTATAAAAATAAAACACTAGATGAGATAATAATATTTTTCACTTTCATTTTATATGTTTATCAATCCTTCTTTTGTTGTTGCTGCTGCATTATTGGCTGTTGCACAAGTAGTATTGGAGGAAAAGGAAACTGTTGCCTTAGAAGTAAATCCGAAACAAGGGAAATGGATAGCAAATGGATTGTCTCTTTGAAGGAGCTGAAGAAAGTCTGCTACATAGCAGCTCCTATGGTTGCAGTCATGGTGTTGCTGCAGCTTTTGCATGTTGTCTCGGTTATGATGGTTGGACATCTCGATGAACTTTCACTTTCCGGAGTATCCATAGCCACTTCTTTCGCAATTGTTACAGGCTTTTGTTTCCTGGTAAAATCCTAAAAACTCTAACGAAATTCAACGTTTAGCAGAGTAAAATGCATAAAACTTGAGCAAATTCCAGCTTTCAACTTCCAAAGCAAATTCTTTTAGTTTCAGATAAGATTGTTAAGACTTGTTGACTGGCTTTAATTTGTTGTTTTCGAGCAGTTTGGAATGTCTGGTGCATTGGAAACTCTATGTGGACAAGCCTATGGAGCAGGGCAATATCAGAAGATTGGAACATATACTTACTGCGCCATCATCAATCTCATAATTGTTTGTTTTCCCATAGCGATCCTTTGGGCTTTCACGGAGAAGATACTGACCCTTATCGGCCAAGACCCTGCAATCTCACATGTAGCCTATAAATACGCACTTTCACTCATCCCTGCCCTATTTGCATATGCTATACTTCAAGCGTTGGTTCGATATTTTCAGACCCAAAGTTTGATTCTTCCAATGTTGTTTAGTTCACTTGCAGCTTTGTTTTTTCACATACCCTTCTGTTGGACACTGATATTTAAATCGGGGTTGGGGACAATTGGAGCAGCTTTATCGATCGGTTTATCATATTGGTTGAATGTGATATTGCTTGGATTTTATATAAAATATTCCTCAAAATGTGATAAATCTCGTGCCACATTGTCCACAGAAGTTTTACAGAGCACCAGGGTGTTTTTCCGCTTTGCTGTTCCTTCAGCTGCAATGGTTTGGTACTCTTTTTCATGCATTTCTTTTCCCCTATCAGTTTTTTCTTGCATATAATTTGGTCCCTACTTACCAAACCTTCCTTTTGTCAATCATTGCAGTCTTGAATGGTGGGCATCTGAGGTTCTAATTTTTCTGTCTGGACTACTACCAAACCCAAAAATGGAGGCTTCAGTGCTTTCCATATGGTATTCTTCTTTCAAGTACTTGTTTCCTAGTATTAGAATTATGGATTTTTCTATCATATGGGAATTGATTTCATAGATTTCTTCTGATTTCTGGCCGTCAATTTGACTTTTGAGCAGCTTTTCAATTATTAGTTTGCACTTTTTCATACCATGCGGTATTGGAGCAACTGCAAGGTTTGTTTTCATTAATTTGAACCTGTTTTTTCAATATATAGATCCTTGGCAATGAAATAGTCATTCCCCTTCGTTTTGTAGCACTCGAGTTGCAAATGAATTAGGCGCTGGTAATCCAGAAGCAGCCAAATTGGCTGTTTGGATAACAATAGTTATTTCAACGGTGGAAGGAGTTTTTGTAAGCACGATTCTCTTCTTTTGCCGATACATATTGGGATATGCATTCAGCAGCGAGAAAGAAGTTGTAAATAATGTGGCAGATATGGTTCCTATCATGTGTCTTCAAATCCTCGTGGACTGCTTACAAGCAGTGCTTTCAGGTTTGTCTCGTTTACTTTTGTCGTTAGGGTGAAAGCCGATCCGTTCGGTTTTGGTTCATTTATTTGATTAATGCATAGTATTATAAATTTTTAAAATCCAATCTCAATCTGAATCGAATTTCCTGTTAAACCGATCCGATTCTTGTAAAAATATTCCAGCTCCTGTTTTCCCTTTCTTTACTTTTTTTAATATACTTGATATCATTAGAGATTGAGTTCTGAGTACTTTAAAACTAAAAGTGACACTCTATCAATATATCACATGATTTTATTTTCCCTTTCTCCTATGCGTAACTGGCAAAAGAACTTGGCTATTAGCTACCATGGAAGAACTTGAACATTTAGAGAGAGTTTTGTTTGCCTGCTTTTGGTTCAGGAGTTGCCAGAGGATGTGGGCGGCAGAACACAGCAGCATTTGCGAATCTTGGGGCATATTATCTAGTTGGAATCCCTGTGGCTGCGGTGCTGGCTTTTGTTCTTCATTTCAAAGTAAAAGGCCTTTTTATTGGACAGACAACTGGGTCTTCTTCACAAGTAGTTATACTAGGCCTCGTAACAGTTTTCACAAATTGGCAGAAACAGGTTTCCAGTCCACACCTTTTTCCTCTCTCTAATTGCTTGCAATTGTTATTTTGTTGGATTTGATGGTGAGTTGAGTTTTGAGTCTGATCTGTGGATTTTGCAGGCATCAAGAGCTAGGAAAAGAATGCTCGAGGAAGATGCAAATAACGAGACTGAATTGACTGGCGGAAACACATTGGCTTGAGTGAGAGCTATTGCTGCAGCTAATCATATATTGGCTCCAACTCTCTTGTTCCACAATTGTGTATTAAATTTCTACAGGTCAATAGGAAACACTACAATCTTAGTTTTCTTATTTGAATCCCTACCAAATGTTATTTAAATGTAATTCAGAATCATTTGTATAAAGATCCATTTGGATAGCCGATAATATTAAAAATAATAATAAAAATTACTATAATTGCAATTAAAAAAATTTGATACTAAATAGATCTTATTAAAATTGATATTTGAATTCAACTACATTACAACACTGAAGGTGAGATAAAATCCAAACCCCCACTAAAATTTTAACAAATGGTATCTTGGTACATCCAACCACAATTTGCTAAACTTTGTTCATCGATTGGATAAAATCCAACTTGATCAATCTTTTGAAGGCTTTATCCAAGATACCACCCGATCCATTAAGCCCAAAAGACTCGAAATTTTATAAAAATTACATCCTTAATTACAAATCCTTTCTGCATCGACCATCTTTGCTCCATGAATCATGTAATGTGGTCTACAAAGTGCATATCCTTAAAATTGCATGCTCTTTCCCTAACTTATGTAGGATTTATTATGTCCATTCAAAATACATATCCTTTAGGTGTTAAGGTAATCAAGAATACATGTGTTCGAACTAACATTATGAAAAAAATGAACACTCTCAAAATGGACTTTAGTACTCCTAAGTTTGGGTGTCCTCAAATGGTATTAGCTTGTCATATTGATGTTACACTGCTACTAAAATTTTCACGTACCTTTCATGACGATTGGATAAACTGTCGTGCCTATATGTGATCCAATAATCAAATTTTAGCCTTTTTTAATCAAGAAAAGTTTTAAATCCTTGGATTATGCTTTGTTTTCCAATGCAGGTTGAGGAGCTTCGTGGTTTCTCCCCATCAACTGATCGTCCGGTCCAATCCTATCTTGAATGCTATCCTATCGAAAGGAAGAATTCTCTCAGTTTGCACTGTTGAAAAGGAAGATTCATACAGTAAGTTATATCTGAAAAATTCACCAGCATTTTGGTTTGTTAAAATTTGAATGAGATATACAATATTGTTTTCATAAAAGAAATCTTACAACAATCTAAGCAAAACTATTTAAATGTATGTGTGTGTGTGTGTGTGTTTTTTTTTTATTTACACAAGAAATTGTGGAATTCAACAAATTTAAATATAGCAGATAGAAATCTTGCCAAAAACATTGATAACTTGTTGAAAAAAAGAAGCAAATTACCAAGTAACAAAACGCAAGCCAATGTCGAAAATGCCTTCCACCAAAAATCCCTCTCATTTGCAGCATGATCCTTGGCACTCACATTCTTAACACAAGCACAAATAATAAAAATAAAAAAAAAAAACATAAAGAGAAAATGTTTTGATCTTTGTAACCTTCATCAATGCTCCCTGCAATTCAATAGTAATAAAAAGATACATAAAAATTTTATTTTGAGTTTTTTTAATAAAGTAACAAAAATATAAAAAATAAGGAAATTAATAATAATTGTATGGATAAAGAGGAAAGCAAGCAGGAGTGACATGAGAGAAGAGGAACCCATAGGGAAGAGAAAGACAACTAAGCAAAATAGGTTTTTCTTTTTTTTTCCCCTTTACATTAAAGTCAAAAGAGTAAAAGCAATTTATCAATTGATAAATTAAAATTTTTCATTTTCCTTTTAATAAAACTTTTTTTCATAGTAGCAATTTGAAAAAAAATTGTAGTAAGCTCTTCTTTCTTGTAATTCCCCCCTTTTTGTTGGGGACGGCATATAATATTTTGCAGTCACAACAATAATAGCACGTTACCGTACTCTCAAACTGTGGCATCGATCAACATCAGGGACCTTCATAACTACTTTATTTACAACACTTTAATAATATAGAAAAAAAAAGTATTCCTAAAAGACAGCAATTATTGTGATCTTATTTCAAGATATTTTGTAAAGTCGATCGCTATTGACCACAACATCCTTACTAATTATTAATTATGCTAAGGCATCTGTTCTGATTAGGTTAATAATAAAATCTATATATAAAATTATTCATTTTTTTTATCAAATTTAGGTTTTCTAATGCGATCGAATATGAGTATTAAACTTTTAATCAATATACCTACAATTAAACTTAAGTCTGTTAACGGCAAAAAAAAAAAAAAAAATCAATTATTGAGATTAAAATCAAGAGCAAAGCTTTCATTAGATCATTACCGATGATTGTTATATTAAGAATGATCAGAAATTGTTCAATTGATTTGTAATTATATTGTAGACACTCAATTTATCTTGGATTTATATATATATATATATATATTATTGGGTCTTGAATTATATTTTGATATTAAATTTTAAAAGCTATTTTTTAAATCCAACTTTAAAGCTGAAAAGTGTTTTTTTATTTATATTTTATTATTTGGTAAAAAAACACATAAATTTTGATTTTTTTAAAATTATGATTTTATTTAAATTTGGAATTTAAATATTGAGTTTAATTTTGGTAATTCTTAAGAATTAAAATTTTACAAAGAAAAGAAATTTTGGTAGAATCTTGATAGATTTAATTGACATTAAAATTTTTCAAATTAAAATGAAAATCAATATTCATATAAAGAGTCCAATTCTCGACCAGAAATCATTAACAATTAAAGAATCAAGAAGTAAAAGAAGAAACAACATAATCAACAATCATCAAGCAACACAAAATTTTGAATTTTGAAGAAAAAATTCTCAACCAAAGGGAGAAAAGTAATCACCAAGCAAAAAGAGAGAGCCATATACATAATATTAAAGTAAAGAAAAATTTTTCTTGGCAGTAGGCTTTATCTCAGGTTGGTCCAAGAGCATTAGTTAAGTACACTTTCTTTTATAATGTTATATTTATTTATTGTTTAATGTGATTAGGGGTAATATTTGTGATAATAATTTTTTATGAGATAATTTTGTTTTGTTGGTTTTTTTTACTTATTGTGTATTTTTATATTTATTTGTTTATTCATAATTTATTATTTATTTAGGTTTTATTTTCTTCTTATTGATTTATTGATTTAAATAAAAATTGAATTATATTTTTAGAAAAGTGTAAATATTTTATTTTATAATTAGAAAGTTGTACAAATAATTGTATCATTATTTGTAATTAATATTTTGTAAATAAAAAAGGAATAAAAACTATTTGAATTAAGGCTTAGACAAGATAACATGTGACTAATTTGACACCAATTTTGGGGGCGATGTGGGATGTTAATATCTTCTCTGTACTTAATCGACTCTTGAACTTAGTTTTGTGATGTAGACCAGAATCAATTCTTTTTAGAGACTTTTAGTTTAAACTTAGGATAACTTTAAAATGTACAAATTCGCATAGATGACCAATCAAACTTGGATAAAAAAGATTTGTAACGACTCCATAATTTTTATATCTAATAGCTAGGTTCTCGAACTTGAATGTTATAACAATTTGGTGACTCTATTAGGGATATTTGAGAGTTAAGCCATTAGTTAGTTAGTTATATGTTATCTTAAGCCTTGCTTTAATGGTTTCATTTTTATGATTTTTCATGTATACTAACCTATTTGTTTATTTTGTAACTTATGATTTTTTTATATGTACTAATATATTTGATTATTTTGTAGATTTTGATTTTATATGTGTACTAACTTATTTGGTTATTTGAGTTGGTATGTCCCTTTACACACACTGCATATGCATTCATGCGTAAACTCTAGGCCCAAGCTTTGTCATTTATTATGAGGGAACAAGTACTTGCACTCTCGTAAGGTGATAATTTCTATATGAGCTAATGAAAACTCACACTCAAATTGAACCACTTTCATTTGAGTTTATAATGATAGGAATTGATTATGGTGCCTTATCAGTCTATAATGGACAATGATGTAATGAATAATTTGAGAGCCTTTAGATTGTCAAACCTTAAAAATCTAGCATGTAAATAAATCATAAGGATCTAAACCTAAGTTAAAACCCTACCATTTCCTTTTATATAGAAAACATTAAAATAGGACACAGAAATAGACATATTTTGTCATTCACTTTATATTTTTTTGTATTTACATTTTGTCAAGATAATTTTGAACTTGTACAAAAATAAAAATGTTTTTTTACTTTTTTTCTTATTTAAAAAACAAAAAATGAAGGAAAATAGGTGAGATTTTGAAATGTATTATCTTCTTATTATATAATCTAGGATCATATCCATTACATACATACATTTGTACATACATTTTTATTATCCATTCATTCATGCGATATTCCATTTCACTTTTCATATATATAAAAAATATGAATGTCTAATTGTAAATTAAAGAGTAATTTTACCTTTTCAATTTTGTATATAGTTGTGAATATGAATTCTTGTTGTTACTATATATAGCATACATGTATTTGTATATACATTTTTATCCATGTAAATATTTTTATATGTATATTATTTCATTTGTTTGGGAGAATCTTTGTCCATTTTAGTTTTGTACATAATTGTGAATATAAATTCTTGTTGTTACTATGTATTGTATACATTTTTATTAATGCAAACATTTTTGTATGTACATTATTTCATTTGTTTGGGAGAATCTTTGGCTTCTCAATTTTATACATAGTTGTGAATATGAATTCTTGTTTTGCATATATGTATTTGCATATATATATTTGTATCCATGTAAATATTTTTGTATGTACATTATTTCATTTGTTTGGGATAGTTTTTGTCTTTTTTAGTTTTGTACATAGTTGTGAATATGAATTGTTGTTGTTACTATGTATTGCATATATGTATTTACATATACAATTTTTATCAATGTAAACATTTTTGTATGTACATCATTTCATTTATTTGGGAGAATCTTTCCCTTTTTAGTATTGTACATAATTGTGAATGTGAATTCTTGTTTTTACTATGTATTGCATACATGTATTTGCATATACATTTTTTATCCATGTTAGCATTTTTTTATGTACATTATTTGTTATAGTTTTGAAACAAAAGTTTTGAATATGAATTCGTATTTTTCATTATGATTTGCATAAAGGTATTTGTATATATTTTCTTCATCCTTTTGAATTTAAGATTATTTGATAATAAAAGCCCATATAATTTCTTTCCATGATTGAAAAATGTTATTTTTAAAGAAAAAA